GTGCAGTAAACAACTACGGAGTATTATCAAAATTATTCAACACAAAGGGGAGAATGAAGACTATATTGAACCATAATAATAGATCTGCCAGATCTGTTGGGTTTTAATTTTGTGGTTCATATAAAAATATTTGTGTGATGTAACCTCTTAAATCTAGAATAAACAAAAGCAGATCTTATTACCTTCTTAAAGACCCAAATTCCAAACAGATACCAAATAGATGCCGCAAAGGTTACAACGCCATGGACGGAGTCATTGATTTGAGCTCTTTTATGTTCGGTATTGTGCAAGGCTTCACTACTATGAACGGCCGATGAAGTGTTTTGTGGATTGGAACGGGAATACAACTCAGCTGAACAAAGGCGGCTAACCTATGACTAAGAGCAGCTGAATCGGCAGGCTGATTTTGGGGTGAGAGTGGAGGGAGAAAATGAGAGAGATAAGGTGATGAGGATTGAGGAGGCAATGGTCAGATGGCTATTGAACTTTCTAGACCCCATTAGTATCTACGTAGTAAGTGCTTACAGCCTGTGGTAAAAAAAGTGCTTATAGCCTCATACGGTGCTTTATGATGCCTTTATTCCTAATCATTTTTTGTTTTTGTTCTCCTTTGTCGTTTTTTTGTCAAAATAATTAAAAAAGAAATATATGGAGTAGAGTTTAAGGAGTTGTTCTTTTTCTGATTTGAATTATTTAAGTTCTGATCTGATGTAAATTTTTCTGATCTGATCTGAATGCTTCTGATCTGATCTGAATCTTTCTGATATGATCTAATTTGAATAAAATAAGAATAAGCAATAAGTAATAAGAATAAGACGAACAAAACAGCTTCTGATTGAGTCAACAACTTTTGTGGTGAAACAATTTTTATTTTTATTTGCGTGCATTGAGATTGAGGCACTGTTTGCTTAGATTTGTTTCCATTGGTTGAATCGGGTGGTGAACATAGTGAATGAGATTGAGTGTTTCTTGGGGATTTGGGGCGTGTGTCTGTAAAATCCCGATTACGGTTTATCCCTCCAAAAAATACTACTTCGATACCATAATGCCCTCATGCTTTGCAAGTTTACAAAGGCAACTCTTTTAACCAATCCAATTCGTATAAATAATAGTCAGCGTATTAGTTTGAGGTTGTTGTCTATAAAGAAGTGTTTCATAACTTTTAGCAACACGTCTAATGTGTTTCCAAATTATATTTATACTGTGTGTAATCAGTGGTTAATCGAATTTAATGTATTGCATCACATATCAAAATTCATTATTGTAGGGACTATAATTCGAAATTGTTCTTTTTTATCGCAAACGATTCATTTACAGAACTGAGGTGATGCAAAAGTGTGGAGGATCCCACGGTTCGGCGATGGAGGAGGATGAGTAATTTTGGCGAGGTAGAGGGTTGTCACTCTGTCGGGCCGACCATGGAGGAGGTTGTGACCTTTGCGGATTGGTTCTGGAAGCCTTTCGTTGTTTGTACGTTTTAGTATTTGGCATGAGTATAGGTTTGCAGATGTTGTTCTGGATCATGGGCTTATTTTATTTGGGCCCGCTCCATCTTTAAATTAATGAGTTAATCATGAGTGGTCCAAATATTAGGTAATTAGGTAATGTGAAACGGGTCAAAATTTTCATCGAATATTTGAAATGGATTTTGAAGGAATGGAGGTGGATGATTAAGAAAGAAAGATGAATTCACGCTCAGGAATCGATTGAATTTTAACAAGATGATATATCAAAACCGACAAAATGAAGAATAATGAATATCATAAATGCGACCCCAAGATGCTTCAAACTCTTAGAGCATATCAAAATTGAATATAATATACATTTTTATCATGATCTCTAAATGTGGAAATAATAGAGTGAATTTAAAGTTATATGAGAATACACCATTGGTCACCCCCTGATTGGCTGGCATTACTAGGGCAATTAGTTTTACTATTGCAATTCATATACCCCGGTCCTAAATAAACTTCACACTTTCTTTTTTGGGTGGATCCAAAATAAATTTCACACTTCTATTTTTGACAACTTTTTGACATAAAGTTACCCTTATACCCTTACATTATTACCTACTTTACACCCACTTTCCCTCTCCCAATACACTTTATCACCTTTTTGTAGGGGCATCATGGGAAAGTCAAAAGTAAAAATTTCACTTTTCTTGAAAACTGTAAAGTCAAACTATGCACTTTATTTATAAAGACCAGAGGGAGTATTATATTTTACCGCTTACAAGCAACCATAATATTGGTTAAGTGATATATACCATTTTCTATTCAACAGATTCGTCTTAAGTATGGCTGTGTTGTGGTTAGTACGTTGTGATATCTAGCCATCTAGGGATATGCATAAGGGTAATTAATATACATGCATGAGTAAAACTCATACAAAATCCTGGAATATGACTTGGTGACATTCTCTTCTATTGTATGACCAAGGAGAATGTTTAGATCAAAATATGCTATAAAAAAAATTAAAAGTCACGTAGGAGTCTTTGGTTAGAAATAGTAAAATTGCCAATAAAATTTCTATAAACGTAGATTGTGGAGAGAAAAAAAAGGTTGCTTCCATTTTAAAAGAAATTGATAGTGTAATTTGAATTAGTGAGCACAAATAAATTTGAAAGAAAAATTTCCCGACTGTGCATCACAAGGGTGATATTAAAATCAAACATAAATTTTATGACCAAAGTTACTACTATGGTCACGAGTCTTAAGAGGTCACATTTTCATAAAAAAATATTTCAAAAACTTATATGCAAAAATACCTAAGTTTGTGCCTTTTTTAAGGAGGGTCGGTTAGAGAACCTTAATATGGGATGTATAAAAATGTAAGTATGAAACTATGAACTTTAAATTAGGAAAGGGAAATATTATTTATAGTAAAAAAAAATATGAAAATACAATATAGATCAGTTTAAATATGAAATCATAAAATGGTTCCTTTTCAATGGTGATATATAATATCAATGGATTTTTGACCTTTTTAACGACAAAAAATTTCAAAAATACATAGCCACAAATATCTAACGACAAAAATATGAAGGAAAATATATAGTAACATATATAGTGATAAAATTTAAAAATTTCTCACATATGTAGATTCTATCTATTGAATGTGTTTCGAAAGTTATTGTGCTTAAATGACAACATTACTTTTCATATACGGACTCAACTAACATTTTATCACAAATTCATATTTAAGTATTGTTTAATAATGCCGTAACACACTTTCACACAATTGCACACCCCCCCTGATTTGCCAATTTACCCGGGCAATTCGTGTAAAAAATGTAATTCGTATAAATAATGCATAGTCACCATATTACTTGAGAGTTGAGATGTTTATACTTATACTTATTTCAGTATCAGACCAAATCAAATTGTAACAAATCAGACCAGATCATACTTGGATATTAGAAATAGTAGGAGCACCTATTTGAACATTTTCCCACAAATTTAGATTCAAGTATGATTCAATAATGACAATAACACACTTTCACATATTTTACTCCATTATTTTACTTATTTAGAGAGACAATTCATCTAAAAAATGCAATTCGTGTAAATTTATAGTCACCTTATTACTTAGTCATCATATATGTGGTCGGAATGCACAGTCCTTCGTTTGACAAAAATATGCGCATGCAGAACACGACTAACCCATCAAATTCTTACGATTTGAAGGACTTTTCAAATTAGATTTCCAACATTGGTGACGGTGTTGCGGTTGAAAGTAATGATGGTCATGTTCGTATTACTATTCCTGAAGATCTCTATTGATACGCACAGATGGAGATCCTATAGCTGCGAATGTTGAATCTGCAATTTTGGGTTGTTTGTGCGACCGTGCAATTTTGGCATCGACACTGGCTGTACGTGGTTAAAGCTGTTAATGACTATATGACGGCTCTAAATGTTGGGGAAGTTTCAAGAACATATCTTAGTTCTGACAGTGTTTCTAAGGTAGATGTTACGACTGATCTAATGGCGGATTTGCACACATCTGAGTTCTTGAATAGTATAAAATTGTCTGGTGTACTGAATAATGAGTTAACGTTAAAGGTAGGGACCCCGATGATGCTTTTGCGAAATATCGATCATTCAACGGGGTTTTGTAACGGGACACGTCTTATTCTAACGAGGCTCGGTGATCATGTTTTTGAGGGGAAAATTTTAACTGGTGTGAGTGCTAGATAAAAAGTATTAATTCCTAGATTGTCCCTGACGCCATCCGATGTCAGCCTGCCTTTCAAACTTCATAGGCCACAATATCCTGTTATGACTTCATATGATATGACTATAAATAAAAGTCAAGGTCAATCTTTGTCCCATGTTGGGTTGTTGAAAAAACCGGTATTTACCCACGAATAGTTGTGTGTTGCAGTATCAAGGGTTACCAATCGTTGTGGTTTGAAAATTCTAATTGTTGATGAAGATGAGGGAACGACTGACAAGACTAAAAATGTTGTATTCAAAAAAGTGTTCAAAAATGTTTAGGTTTACATTAAATGCATATTTACAATGTTATGGTTTCAACGTATTTGTTGGATGTTTTTAATCTTTTATGTAATGTTAGTACTCTCATTTTGACCATAATATTATAAGTGTGTTTCGTTTAATGCTTTGATGTATATCAGGTTTTTTTACTCCAGGGGGTCTTGGGGAGGGGGAGCCTGGAGTAATAAGGGCTGAAACTCACTCCATTGAGTTTCAACCCCCTATGTGCTTATGTGCTTTGATGTATATCGGTATTACATGAAGATAGATGATGTCATCAATTGATAATGTGATTTGAATCACTAAACACACATAAATTTGAAAGCAAAATTCTCAAACCGTGCATCGCACGGGTGAGTTTACTAGTTGCCTAAGCAGCACATAAGGCAAGTTGAACTCGGCTCGACGCAGTCATTGGACCTCAATACTTTTCGTGTATGCGTTAAATTTATCAATTGTTTGGTGAAGTGAAATCCTGTTTTTGTAAGTAGTCAACAAAATCGGAGCTCAAAAGCAGACAAGGTTACATCGATTTAAGCATATTCATGCTCATCGTTCATCCATGTAATTTTGCATTGATGACAATCAAAGGCCACGAAACACAGTATCTGGTTATTACTCTCTGGTTATTACTCTGTCAAAACACGCAATAAACTTATGCACAAATAGGACACGAGATCTAATAGGCGTTCCCAGAAATAAAGTTGCAGTTCACCTATGCAATAAAAGCATGCAGGCAAATAAAAACAGTAATCACTGTCATGTAATGTGACCTAAATATGATCAATCTATATCAGTGGTGGGTAACAAAATGATACCTTAAATCAACATAGCTCTCGACATCCCAAAGGAAAGACCCAAAAGTCAGTGCCTCCAAAATAAGCCTCTTCAGACCACTGAACCTAATCATGACCATTTCTTCTTTAGAAAAATCTATGGTTCCCTGACGCGTAATAGCAACTTCAGGTCTACCAAACAGTGCTTCAGTGTGTTTCTCAATTATTTGTATGGCTTCTTTGGACCTAATGCTTGCGTATGCCTGAAGAATCTCCCCATCAAGTGACATCACATAGGATTTCAACCTCGAGGCATTAAATCCAGATGAAAAGAATGCTTTATTGACTTCAGGATGAGATGATGATTCTGTTGAGCTAAATGAAACATCATCATTATCATCATTGTTTTCATCATTACCAGATCTGAGCACTTCTTCCTCTGGAGCTTGCAGATTGCCACTAGCCTCTCTTCTGCCTACGCCTCTCTGGGGAAGGATCTTCACAGTCTTTTCCAACTGAAATCTCTGGACAACCCTCTTCAGGAAGTAGCCATACATAACAGATGCGGCGTAAACCTGACCGACTCTAAATTTATTTATTTGAATTGCAGAGGCATTATTATCACCCAATTTGTCCCCAAGGATGAGAGCTAGATGGTATTGAATCATCTCATAAGCATCGGGCGAATGAAGGTGTAAAAGCTGCTCATTTTTGATAGACCACACATCAACAACCCGAGCAGGGGAAGAATCTGGTGATGATTGCAAATTTATGGCCGGAATCAATGGTACACCACCATCCATGAATTTCTGCACCACCATTGCATACAGTATCTCTTCAAGTGCTTTCCTCCTCTCCTTTGCCTTGACCTCTGCAATTCTCCTAATAATAATAACAATAATAATAATTTTAAAATAAGAATTTATTAATGAGGGAAAACCACCATTAATGTTTTTGGTGTGAAATTAGAATTAAACTCCACACCTCAATGATGTTTTTAAGAAACTACATTTTAAAATGTTTCTGAAAACATTGATAAACAAAGAGAGGGTCCAACAGGACATACTTCCTCTCTACCTGGAAGTGAGAATGCCATGGAATTCTCAAAATGATAATTATTTCATATTAAAAACAAAAACAGAACAACGTTGAAATGTGGATCTTAAAAATCTCAACTAAATTTTAAAAACACTACTATAACTACAGCATTACCCCAGTGCCGTAAAGGCTCCCCACCTATGGTGGGGGTAAGGGGGGTCGGATGTACGCAGTCTTAGGATGTTTTTACTTGGACTGTAATCTGTCCCAGACCAGACCAGATCAGACCAGACTTGGATAGTTATAAAAATAAAAAGAAACCAGATCAGACCAGACCAGATCAGACCAGACCAGCAAATTACAGTCCAAGTAAAAACATCCTTACACCTGTACTAAAGCACAGAGAGACTGTTTCCGGATGACCCTTGATGAAAATCTCAACTAAATTTTAAAAACACTAGTCAGAATAAAAAATAGAGCCCAAATGGTCATACTACTTCAGTAGTACTTCTTCCTCTCTACGTTGAAGTGAGGTAGCTTGCAATCCTCCTAATAAATATTATTTCAAATAAAAGATTGATTGGGGGAGGGGAAATGGATTTTGCACCAAAAGCTAGAAAAATCTGTACAAGATGGGGAAGTGAAAAATCCCTACTCACAAAGAAAATGAGGTGAAAATCTTCAAAATTGGAGTGGAGATACTAATAGTTTCAAAAATGGGGTGCAAACTTTATATTTATATGAAAGATTGGAGTGCAAACTCCAATTTCCCCACTAATTAAATAGCAGAAAAACACCACTGACATGTGGGTCTTAATTCTGAGCTACTTTACAAAAAAAAAAAACATTTCTCATAATAGAGCCCAAAAGGCCATACTTCCTCAGAGTTCCTCTGTACCTAGAAACCTAGGAAAAGATGTGAGAATGAAATGCATCTAACTCTCAAACACTACCTGTACAAAACTAGTTCAGTTCCCGACACTGATGGTTCATCCTTGCGTGCATCCTGAGCAATCATAAGCTGTTGAAGTTGATGATCCACTGCAGCAGGGACTAGATGTGGATGATTTATGATAACCTGAGAGAGAAATTGTCCAACTGGAGATTCAAATTGAAGTGGAGCAATAGGGACAGTTGAATCTCCAGATCTGGAAGGTGGTAATGATGCTCTAATTGAATTGTATCTTCCACTCTTATATGCCACTCTCTGGTTTCCAGACTTCAGATGAGAATCAAAGGGGTACAACTGCCATTCAAGAATATTAAATAAGATCACCACCATTTAATAACAAGAGGACTTGCAGATCTAAGGAGCGAGTTGAAACAAACTACAGACCACTAGTTGATGGAGAAGGGTTTTGTCTAAATTATTAATAATCCAATGAGAGTGGGTTTTAGTATGAGCAGTGATAACCACAAATACAGTACAACATACATCATACCACAGCATCGGCAATGAGACACAGCTCATAAGAGTAGAAAGAGATAATTCTTAGAAAGAGATGCACACATTAGTTTACAGATGCTTCGTTTGTTACTACTATTATTATTACTACTATGAGATAAATAGGTTCCATCCTATAAATGAGGCAGTTAATAGTACTCTTCTTTCCCGTAAGAGTGCCTATTCAGCATATGTGTTATTGAACAAAGACATTACAATCAGTACTTCTGCAGTTAAGTAGATGATAAATGACTCAAGAGCTTTCCAGAGTCTGTGTACATGGTTGAAACAGAAATACAAATTAAAGATTTGCCATCGATATCGTGGAGTATACAGCAAAGAAAAGCAAAATAACAGTAATTGATGGTATATCTAGACTATAGAGCCCCCACTGAGATCAAACCTGGGTAGGGTTGTAAACGAACTGAATCGAGTTGAATAATGTGATTTTGTATTTGTATTTGTTTAATTTTTTTGAATACGAATCCGAATTTGAATATGGAGCGAATACTAATTTTGATTTGTATTCATATTTGTTTAACAATACGAATAACTAACGAATCATATACGAATATCGAATCAATTTGACCATAAGTTAAATATTAGTCAAATATCACTTTAAAACACATTTCCTTATATTTTCATGTTATAAATGCATGCTATGACTTAATATGTGTTATTAGAATATAAATTGTAACATTATATTTTTCTTTAAAATTTAATGGATAGGTGCATTTTAGGTTGTACACAATATACTAAAGTGAATCAATTTTATGATTAATAAACATAAATCTTTTTCAATGTTTTTGAAATAAACACTTACACAAATGCTACTTTGAGAGTATACCTAGCTTTTAAAAGATACAGTATTATAGTATTAATTCTATTATATTACTATTATTAATTATCACTATTATTAATCGAATATATTTGATTACTATTCGAATCGAATATACTGATATTCTTATTTGTATTTGATAACAGTTCGAATCAAATTTAGTATTCTTATTTGTATTTGAATTTTTCGGATTCGAATAGTCTTATACGAATTTGAATCTCGAACCAAGCATAAATTATTTGATTCGTATACAACCCTACCCCTGGGCTCATACATGGGCATCAGTCTAGATGCTTAGTGTGTGGGGCCCAAAGTACCAACACAGGCCTTTAGGGTTGGCATGTCACCCTAGCCTGTCAAGTTAGAGCATATGACTAAGGGAGACAAGTTGCCTATCTTTTCTATGATGTTGTTTTGTACTGGGACTGAACACTAACTATTATACCAACGGTCTTAGGCCTTTCTGCCAGATGCTTAATTCACTCCAGTACTCCACTACTCCATCAATAACAAAGTGACTGGACTGCCATCTTGACATAAATGAATAGAAATAATTCCTTTCAGTAGAACTTACCGCCTATGTAATTAGCATCTCTTTCTCTCTGCACTCTGCCGGTCTGCCCCTCCCATTGTCCACCCCTTGCATGCTTTCAACCAGTGTCATAGACGGCCTCAAGTGCCAAGCAGACGGGAAAGGAGCACCGAACACATGGGGTTCCTAGACGGCACCTTGGAATGACTAGTATTTTTATGTTTTTGAATAGGGTTGCTTAAAGTTTTCTTAAACTAAATATCTAAGTATTTAATGTATTTTGAATGTAAGTTTCAGGTTATAAACTTCAATACATTGGGACAGACGAATCAAATTCAATTAGAATAAGATAAAACTTATAGAACAAATTTTGAACGGAAAGAGCTAGAACAGGTCAACAACTCAAACAAACAAGAATATGAACACCAATTATCCCACATTCTGTGTATCACGTATCTATTATAACTAAATATTGTTGTTGTGAAAAAACACAATATTTATAATAAATGAAATTGCTTGGCCAACAAAAATAATATTATAAAAATACTAGGAATTACAGTGTTCCCCTTATGAATGCAAAAGTGTGTGTTTATGTGTTTTCATTTAAAAGTGGCATATGCCGGTGCAAGAATGTTGCGAGGATAGAGTTGGAAGCTGAAAACCTAAACACGTACTATAAAGTCAAACAGAAATTCTGCATTCACTACCAGCTGCTAAGCAGGGACCAATTAGGTGGAAATTAAAGTAAAAATCAAGACACCACCTCAAAAACACTCCAATTTAAAGAAGACATATATGCCTGAATGTGAACAGCCTCTTTGCATATGCAATAGAATATGCCATACAATGATCATCCTTTTAAGTTATAGCCTCACAATGAGGGGAGCCTTCTGACACCACCACCTATTCTAAAACATGTGTGGCTGAACAGATTCTGAAGTTAGCAAGAATCATCTTCCAAAAAAAGTTCAAACTGAAAACAAACAAAAAGCTGCTCCCATACAATTACAAATATCCAAAAAGTTACTAGTTTACTCTGTTGGGAAGGTAGAGAACTTCAATTTTAGTACCCAAAAGAACTTCACCAATATTCTAATGGAATTTTCCATAATCCATCCGTAACAAATGTTATCATCACAAAAATTGACAAATAAATTTAATGACTTCCAGGGAAAAACAGGTATAAGCGCACCTTCATGCAAGGTGAAGACAAAGGGGATCTGAATCCAAATCTAACAAATTCTGGCGTCGTATGGGCTGAAAAGAAACCAGCCTTGTCGGATCCGCAGCAGATGGCACCCGAAGAACGAAGAGAAGCCGTCGCTTCCATGCTTTATGATTCCAGGGCTTCTGCACAAAGAAAAAAGGTATCCAAAAAATCAAAGAGGAATATACATTGAAATTCGTATGCAGTTGAATAATGAGCAGAACATACCTACCGTAGGAGCGATGGAAGCTTCGTTGGACTTTTGGGGAAATCGTGTGAAATCTGGACAGTGAGGAAATTGTAAACAAATGGAATAGACTATGGAGTATCTATGTATTGAATCTATTCGACTTGAAATTGATTACGAAATTAGAACTCATAGTACACGTTAACCGATTAGGATGTTTGTACTTTGTACGAGGGGACCGATTCAGTGATTCGATGATAGAGGATGCCCATTCTCTATTTTATTTTAATATAAAGCCCTTCTTTTACTATCAAAAAAACTTAAGTCGCCCTTTCATGAGAAAGAAATACAAAATAGTGGTCCGAACTTCGAAGCCCAAACGTGATTTGGTTTATGTTGAGGAAAAATTGATATTAATAATTTCAACTGTTGTCGGTCTGCTCATAATCCCAACTTTAGGGACCTTTCGGTTTTCGCCAATAATGGTTCCATGTGACCGGCAATGAATAAATTTTTATAGTTTCTAAAGTGGATGAGATGAGATAATAGCAAGTAATCCCTATAAATAATCCCAGTTTTTAATTTTTACGCTTAATTTCTATTTGAAATTCACTTGTTATCTGGTCATGGACCATTATTGATGGATGGTCCATATAGTTGGGATTATACAAAAATAATCAATAGTTGGGATTATTGTTAGCGGACCGGCAATAGTTGGGATTATTATTTTCAATTTTTTCTTATGATTATTGTATGTTCAAATTCACTTGTTTATCAACATTGAGTAAAAGTTGAGAAATCTAAATATTTGTAAAAGAATTAGAAAGGCTAAAGGGTCAAATAGGTGCATGAACTAACTTAAAGTGTTCAATTAGCCCCTTATATAGGAGGTTCTGCCTGGCCGTCGCCAATTGGGGCGGTTCCCGGTGAAATTTTTTGATGAAATTTTTTTAGCAACTTCTTCATTAAGTATAGTTTACCCTTACCAAATTTCAGCTAAAAATTCAACCGGGAAGGCAGTCAAATGATTTTTTGAAGATAACTGCGCAGTTAAACAGCGCAGTACATTTCGGAAAATCAATTGACTACCTTCCCGATTTAATTTTTAGCTGAAATTTGATATGGGTAAACTAGACTTAATGAAGAAGTTGCTCAAAAAATTTCATCAAAAAAATCAACTGGGAACCGCCCCAATTGGCGACGGCCGGACAGAACCTCCTATATAAGGGGTTAATTGAACACTTTAAGTTAGTTCATGTATCTATTTGACCCTTTAGCCAATTAGAAAAGATTAATAATATTTCATTCTTTGAATTTTCCGAAGTAAAACTGTCATGATAATAGTTTTTCTTTTCACTTTCTAATATAGTAGATTATTTATTTATTTAATTATTATTAGTGTGGGCCTCCTATTGTAATTATCACTCTTATTTCCTATATATATCTGCTAAGGCTACCATTATGGTTAAGCCTGGTATTATTTCTCACATGATATCAAGAGTCAAAGCCATCTAAAATCCCTAATTTTTTCGGCTCACATGTCTACTGAATCGTTCTCCGCTGCACCAGCTTCTTCTGTGTAGCCTTCTTCTCTGGCTGTTACATCGCAGGTCATGGCATCGAGCTCCTCCCTAGCGCCGGCAACCACTATGCATCCAGTCATCTCCGCCGTGTAGCTCTCCTCTCCACCCACGGCGTCGTTCTTCTCTTCTTCGGACGTCGTTTGCTAGACACCGCCAATATTCTCCTGGACGCCCACCCCACCGACGGTTCATTCGCAGTCCTCCGTTCTCGACTCAGATAGCAGCGGCACACCACCATCGGCAAGATCTTCCTCCGCCTTAGCTGGTCCCACATTCGCAGGTGCGTCAGGTCCCACATTCGCAGGTGCGCCCTTCTCTAATCTAGGCCATATCGCTGCACGCTCAAGTACATTACCCGGTCCAGGTTCTTCGTTATCTGATTTAGTTAAAAAAACATTGGCTTCTCTACACTTAATATTATCAATATTGTTACTACTAAACTGGCTGTCGTGGAAGATTACCGGTCTTGGCGCACTCAATTTGAGTCTTTTCTGGTTTCCAATGGCTTTTTGAGTATTTTAGATGGTTCGATTCCTGCTTCATCCCCTATATTTTTTATGCATATCAGCGTGAGACAATTAATCCGGATTATTGTAATTGGTTAAAACTTGATCAAACTGTCCGGTCTTGGTTTTTTGCTACTATGTCTCGTGATGTGTTAATCGAGGTGCGTGAATTAAAGAATGCTTCAGCTATTTGGGGTCGTTTGGAATCACACTTTATGTGTGCTAGTCTTGCTCGATCCATGGAACTAAAAAGGCAGTTGACGCATTCTCGGAAGAGTCCTACTCAGTCTATTGATCACTATCTCAGGGATATTAAAATTATTGATGATAATTTAGCTTCCACCAAAGCTCCTGTTTATACTAATGAAATTTTTCAGTGTATTTTACTTGGTTTGGGAAGAGACTATGAGTCTCTTATTACTTCGGTTGGATTGCTTCCTCAGAGCTTTACGTTTGAAAAACTGTGCACTCACATGATAGAAAAGGATCAAACTCTTCAGTACTTACGTTCCATGGATGACCCACCTCAGGCTCAAGCTTGTGTTGGTCAGGTTCAGGCCGCGGGACCACCTTCTCCACACGGTGGGCAGCAGCAGCGCCGCAGAGGGCAACGCGGTTGGGGTGGTTGCGGGGTAGCGTGACCGTGGAGGCCGAAGGCAGAGGGGCCGTGGGTATGGCCCACATCCAGCAGGCTATGGCTTCGGTTATGGATACCCTCCCCCCGGCTATATTATTCCAGGGGGTGCACCACATGCTGTCACGCCCCGGACCTCCCCGGACACGTCAACAACTCGCCGTACAATACGAATAGTCAACCGCAGTCAAACACATTCATATTATACAAGGCGTCTTGAATATCAATCACACATATAACATCCATAAACAAACATAATAAGTAATTCATAACGCAGCGGAAAACATTGTTTAAAACGAAAGGGCCACACAGGGCTATTCATGAGCACGCAGGCTCTATAGTAAAATATCCATGAGCATGTTTATTAATGTTCAAAAACAGAGTGGAGGAAGCACGAACCAAGTCTTCTCTCCAGGGAAATCACTCGAGCAACGAGCACAGGAAGCAAGCTCTAGCCTCAACCTGAAATGGTGGTGGGACGCCCCCAAAGGGGTCAGTACTCTATACGGCTATAAAGTACTGGTGTGGCAGGCATCTAATAGATATACAACAAGTATTTCAAACACAAGACCCTCAAATAGGGTGATAGTACATTATGATTGTAACCCTAAGTTACCCCGTTTGAAAATATACTTACTTTATATAAAAGTCAAGTAGTCGGCCCGTGGGCCCATATTCAATTAGAAATCACCATTCTTATTCCCCATGACTATAAGCCACGACAACTCATAGAGTCCAACCCTAATACATGACATTGTATTCTAGAGCTCGGCTCTACCACATCACCATACAATTCATGTCACTCGGGTCAATTTCCTTACCTTGTGTTTTAGAGCTCGGTTCTATCACATCACCACGCAAGCCCTAGAGCTCGGCTCTAGTTATACAATACATAGACTACAAGTCTACCACCTTACCATGCATCCTAGAGCTTGACTCTATCACATCACCATGCATCAAGGTCCAATTCTTAAGCAACCTTATGCCTAGAATTGTCATATCAATAAACTACCATGGGTCATCCTTAAAGACTTCCTACAACTTAACCTTAGTTTCATACTAAGTCATCATATACACTTGAAATATATTCAAGTACATTTCATACAATCCAAACCCTAGGATCAATTCCAACAACAATTTCCAATAATCACTAACTAGTATTTCAATACTATTATGATTATTGTTATCATACAAATATTCTCATTTTGTAATTCTCTACATATTTATAAGAGATATTACCCGAAATAGGACTAAAAAAGTTTGAAAATTCCAAAATAGGACTTCCGTGTTTTTATTTCCAAAATAGGACTAATTACTGTCATGTTTTGGCAGTACCAGACTTCAAACATGGCAGTATTTTCCAAATTTGGCAGTAATTAGTCCTATTTTGGGAATAAAAACATGACAGTTCTATTTTGGAATTTTCAAACTTTTTTAGTCCTATTTCGGGAACTTTCCCTATTTATAATTATGTAGCAGCAACTTAAGTATTCAATCCCAATACATAAATATCCATTTATGTATCCTCATAATTCATACATGAGTAAAATGCCTATTTTACAAAATAGTTCATTTATAACTCATTTAGAGCCCGTTTGGTAGCACGAAAATCGGCTGTTTTGGCTGATTCTGCTGAAATTTATGAAATTCTGGCTGAATTGGCTGTTTTGGCTGATTCTGCTGATTCAAGAAAAAAATATTTTAAAAATATATTTTATTAATAAATTATAGAAAAAATTATATGTAAAAATAGCTAAAATAGTCCTCTACAGTAACTTCAGCCAATACAGCCAGAAAAGTAACTCCAACCTTACTTTTTCTGCTTATTACACAATTCAGCACACAAAAATAAAAGTTACGTGTTTGGTGAAAAAGCTGGCTGATAAGCCTGATAAGCCGAAAAAAGAGGCCTCCAAACGGGCTCTTAATCTCATATTATGCATACATCCTCAAATCATTCCCAATTTCATTCTTTGGCAACTATATCAATATTTCGTCAATATTTAATCATCATAATCCATGAAAAATTATGATTTAGACATTTAGGTAATCTCATGCTTAACCTACCAGTTGTAAGCAATTAGATGTCGATCCTCACCTCAAATGAGCTTTAAAACCTTCCTCCTCGATCCAACGACCAAAGCCTCGGCCAAGAAGGTTTGAGAACTGATTCCTTTCTTCGAAATGATTGTTAAACAGCCTCCTCAAGTGCTAGTTCAACCCCTAATCGTTGATACGAAAACAGCCCCTAGAATGGGTGTTTTCCGGCTAACTCGTTTCTTAGCTTTTCCAAAATTTGCTCTAGGTTAGTATCTAACCTTTACATCAATAAAATAACCTTATGAGGACATATTATACACTTGGAGTAGTGTATAATAGTTCCACCAATCGTTCATATCATTTGGAAAATGAAAAGTAAAGTTTTGGGGTTAACACTCACTTTAGGAGAGTAAATCCGTTTCTGTGAGGTTGTGTTTTTCTCGGACGATTTGGAAGCCTTCCACTACTCCGATTGATGAAAACTAGAGCTTCACGGATTTCTCGTCTTGAGAGCTTTCTTTTGGTATCTTGCACGCCTTATTTGGATTGGTATAACTCGAGATATCAACCAAACAGCCTCAACACTCTCACTGCTCGAGTTTACAGAC